CGAGGATGGCTGCTTGACAAATACCCGCGCTTGGGAGCGCAGCGTTGTTTAGACGCACGTTTTAACTGCTCCGTCGAGGAATCGTCCTCCTTTGCCTTTGTTTCTCCCCTGCTTCAGTAAAACCGACTTTACCGGCTTAGGCAAAAGCGGGGAAAAAAGCGGATTTGATCTGGTTTTGATCTGTTGCTCTGCCTTTGATGAGGAAGTTGTTGTGGTTTGGGGGGTGAAGCTTGTACTGGCATTTTTGGCGCAGGTCCGCAAGGTGCGGTTTGATGTGTGCTTCTTCCTCTCCCAAAACAAGTCTTCAGCCTCTGTCTTCCTTCAGAAAACGATTGTCTCACCCCAAGGGAGCCCTGCTATGTAATTTGTGGGTAATAGAGGGGAACGAACCTCAGAGGAAGAAGAATCTCCAACATCCGAACGGAATTGTCTTAAATGAGAGAAATTGAGGTGTTAGAAATGACAGGCGTGCTGCTGGCTTTTTCCTGGCTCAGAATAAATGACTTCTGGGGAGAAATGGAGAGAAGCTTGCTTTCTGGGAGCTGCTGCAGGGCTGCCTGCCCTTCATCGTTACCTGCACAGTTACATCCTTGGCCCCGGCCCCCCAGAAGGGAGAGGGAGAAGGAGGAGAGCTTGCACACATGAACATGTGGTGGTTTGTGAAATGTGGGTTGTCCATAGACCAGTGTGCTCCCTTTCCTGGGGGCTCATGGCTTTTGGGGGAGGCAGCGCAGCTGCAGTCCCTGCCATCCCCTGCAGGTCCTGGGATGCTGCTGCTGGGAGGATGCTGTGCCACTCCCTGGGTGCTCACTTCCTCCCCAGGAGAGATGCTGAGTCCTTGTGCGCATCCTTGCTGAGCGGTTTCTGAGCCTTTGGCTGTGGTTTGAAAGCCAGGCACACCTCTGGCACATTTGCTTAGAGGTGCTGGGTCTGAGGTTAAAAGTTAACAATGCTCTTTCCTTATTCAGTTCTAATTTAATTTAGGAAGGCAGCAGGGAGACCGAGAGCACTTAGTCTGGTAAGTGCTATTCCCTTGATGGGAGTTAGTAGCTTGCTCGGCGTGCGTGATGTTGACTTCATAAGCTGACCTTTACCTCCATAACGTTTATTTTCATTTATAATGCTTTTAAAAAAAACAAACAAATCCCTACCCCCAACCTCTTATTTATTCTTTAAGCAGAGAAGATGTAAATCCTTCAGCGTGTTTGGATTTATAGAATTACTGCGCTTTTGCTGAGCCTCACGTCCCACTCCAATCAAATGACACGGCTTTCGGTAACCGTGCGGGTGACTGCGTTTTTCCTCCCCCTGCCTCCCTCCTTACTGCTCCTGATCTGTGCCTCCTCCTGCTCCCTGCAGCCTTTTTGGGGAAAGGTGGGCCCTTGGCACCCACGGGAAGGGACAGGAGGGGGGACTAAGCAAGTCTCAGGGTTGTCAGCATTTACGCATGAAGTGGAACAACCTCCAGGTATCTTCTTTCCTGGCCCAGAATAAAAAAATGCTGAAATGCTTTTATAGGAGGGATTTCGTCAGCTGTGCTACAGGCCTCCTCCGAAACCAGCGCATTTCCGTGGTGGCTGGGGAGAGAGGGGAGATATAAATATCCTTCTCGGCTCTGCTTGGCTTCTCCCCAAGATAAATAGAAGTGAAAGTCAAAAGTAGAGGCTTGGCCTTCTGAAATCTCTTCCCGAGCCTCTGGGGACCTGAGCATAGGATGCTTTCATGACGGGAAGCCAGCTCCTGGTGTTTCAGGGGTCTCGGAAGGTGATGTTTGAGGGGTCTCTCTCCCCACTGCCCAAGGCAGATCTCGGCCGTACAGTGCCTCAACTGTGATCTCCACGCCTGGTGGTCAGCGGCCTCTGTCGCGGGAAGCCTCAGGGAACACAGAAGCACTGGTGAGAAACTGCCTTGAAAGGAGAGCAGAAAAAAACCATCTGTGGTTGTCCTTTAAATCTTGTAGCATGTTTACTCTCAGAAAGTACAGCTACATTACCAAAAATCAATAGTTCTGGCAGCGTTCTCCCTGAGAAGCACACACACGCTCGGACACATGAGAGGCGGTAAGTCTTAAAAAAGCCAAGGGAATACAAAGTGCTTTGGTACAAGGGTTTTGCTTCACTTTGAGCAGTGTACAAATGGAGGGCCCTTGACCTGGGCAGCGTCTTCTGGGACTTTCTGATTGTCTTTCTGGTCCGATGTGTGCGAGGCTGGGCCAGCCAAGGGGGGCCATCAGAAGGTTTGTCTCATTAACTGATTTTTGCTTTGAAGTACATGTGTTTTGTAAAAAAAACCAGGTTGTGGTGTGCAGAGATAATCTAAACAAGTATTTGAAAGACTCTTCCTTTCGACTGTTTTGTGTAAAGGTTTAACTTCCAGGGCTCCTGATGGGAGCAGCACATCCCAGCGTTTCCTTTGTTTTCTTCATGTTTGCAAAGACTTTATTCTACCAAAATAAATGCATCTTCTCCCTCCCTCTCTGTTAAAAACAAAATCCTTTTCAAATCCTAGTATCTCCTTGCTTACCAACGCGCCTACCACTGCCCTCCATTAGGAACGGAGAGAAACGATTCCCACTTTTCCTGCGTGGAGAGTGCTCCGTGAAGGAAAGGAGTGTTGATGTGAACGGCCGGTTTGACAGAGATGGGTGTTAAGGTTAGGGGTAAGTGAGCACGCTGGTGACAAGCACTGCAGCAAGCCCTGGAGAGCTGGAAATCATCCTTCCTTCTCAGATCAGCCAAAACAAAGAGAGAAAGGAGACCAACCCCTTTTCACTCCCATCTCTTATTAATGAGACATTTTATCCTAAGTCTTCTAACATGAACTACGCAGGCTTTTGGGAACATAATCAATCTTTAATTGTATAAATCTTTAATTGTATAAAATGGAGTTTGTATGGCTGTAGCCATTTCTCTTCTCTCTTTTCCTTTCCCCGTTTGAGATGTGCCCGTAGCACAACTTCTTTTCAACAGGGTGTCCCACTTTAGGGCAGCGGCCTCATGGAGCTGCTCACACAGTGTCCCTTGAAGCCAGGCTGCTGCAGAGGGGCCTCTTGCTGGGACAGGGACATGCGTGACCCCCGTGGCGCCTGGCTTCTGTCGAGTACGCACTCGGAAGGACTGGCAGCAACTTGCAGCTTAATATGAGTCTGAGTGATTAGAGGCAAATTACTTCGGGCCCTGTGCAAAGTAAGTCCTTGTGCCGGGGTCTTACGGGACAAGCATCACCCCAAAGGCAGGATGAGGTACAGGTGAGCCAGAGGAGCCGCACAGGCTGCCCGCTGCCTCTCCTAGGCAGGTATGCTGTGACTAAATGATCCAGCAGAGAAACTCGCTGCTTCGTGGCGTTTGTGCTGACCCAGGTGCTTTTTGCACAAGCAGCTTAGGGATCGAGTGCCTGTGCTGCCCCACAGGCAGGTCCAGGCAGGAGCAGGGTGGTCCTTGCAGGTGGGCTGTGGCAGCAGGCACTCTGCAGCACCTCTGACTGCAGCTGCAGCCCTTTCAGACGGAAGAAGGGGCTTAGCAATCGCTGCAAGCTGGCTCAGTAAGCATAAATACCCCTGCTCTTCAGAGCTGTGGCTCTGACTGTCATGTGTCAATGGGGAATTGATAGCGTCAGCCAAATCCTGCGTGGAGAGTTGTCCAGGCGAGCAGGCCGTCTGGAGCAGGGGCTGCATTCATCACGGTGCCTTGGCATCAAGTCTGCGGCCCAAGGTACCTCGGTGGTGCTCCCTGGCCAAAGCCCTTCTTGCTCTGCCCTGGAAACGCCAGGGAATCGCTTCCCCTTTCTGGAGGAGTGACAGCAAAATTAGGAATTGTCCTGAGAGCAACCTCGCTGGTCCCCTTTTGAAGAAGGAGTATTTGCAAAGTAGGTAACCCTTGGGAGAACCAACAAAAGAGCAGTCCTGCCCAAATCAGTGCCAGGCAGAGCTAAACGCCTTTTTGGAGGAGAAGAAGTGCAGCCTTTCAGATGCTAACTAGGTATTTGGGGTTTCAATCATTTGCTGTGCAGAGGAATTGAGGAGGATGGGTTGGAATGAACCCATTGGGCTTTTGGTGCCCCATAGCGATTGTGTCTTTGTAACATCAGGGAGGGCCTGGGACTGCCTTGAGCAGGCACCTGCAGGGACAGATAGAAAATCCAGCAGGAGACAGTGGGAATGGGCGTTTGGGAGATCTCTGCGGTGGGGAGATGTCACTGCGCAGGCCCTCTGTGTCTCACAGTGCTCCCGTTAAGTGGAGTTTCGAAGCATCTCCGCTGAAGAGCTTTTCCTAAGGCATGACTGATGTTTCCAGGTAGAGCAATTTCCTGTGTCTTAATGGAATGGGAGGAGCTCTGTATGCTTGGACACGATGCCTTTCCAGCGATATTGCTGAACGTCCCCATAAGAAATTCTGATGTCATTCTTTTGGTCTGCTTCATAGATTGGATTAATGGGCAGAGAGACGCCCTCCAGGTCCCAGCGTTGGCTTGCTTTCATTAATTTGCACTCCAATCTTTGCCGAACAAAGAAGGATTTGTTGAAGAGAGCGGGGTCAGTGCTGGGATGAAGAGCCTTGCGCCTCTAGCCTGCTAGTTTGAATTAGGACTGAGCCGTAACTGTAACTCGTACGTCCTGTGGCCTGGATTGGTGGAAACAGCCTGGCCTCAATCCTCGCTCCCCCGGAGCCTGCGACCTCAAGAGCCACCCCGGGGTGGTGGCCTTTGGGGCAGTGAATAGCTCCACCCAAGCTCCCGAAATGAGCCACAGTCAGAAAGCAAGGTAGGGAGGGCTTGAGCAGCTGCTGCTGCAGAGAGAGAGAGTTCATTTCGTATCCTGTTTGCTTTAAAGGCTAAGTGCAGGCTCTAGGGGGAAAAACAGTTTAAAGAATAGTTTCATTAAAGGCAAAACAAGTCTGTCAGAGGCTTTCTGCAGCACTGGCTCTTCTGAGAGATCTGTGGACAAGCTACAGGCTGCATTTCTCTAGATACCCCTCGAATGGTTTTTTTCTCCTCTCTTTCAGCTCTTTGAGAACTTCTACTTTGGAGAGGTGCAGCTGGACTCGGTGCATCTTTCCCAGAGGTTCTCCTCGGACGCCTCTGGCTACTACGCGACATCTGGGCGGCTGACCTTCTCCTGAAGCAGCAACGCAGCGGGGTCCGCTCATCGGTGAAATGTGGTTTTATAGGACACAAATTTTGAACAGGAACCTAGGAGCTCCAGGCAGGGATGCCTCATGACTCCTCGACAGCACATTGCAGCCAGGAACCATGGCATTTCCCCGCAGCTTTGCCTACACTTATTGCCTGCCCTCCCTTTTTGGGGGAAACCGAGGTCCTTCCACCTCCTTTCCCTATTGCCAACCAAAATGTTGCAGAGTTGCCTGTATGATGTCTGCTGCCTGTTTGGTTTCCAGGAAAACAACTGGAAAAACTGGTGCAGGTGGTTTTTTGGGCCATCGCCGATGTTTACGCGTGGCTTTATTTTAGAAGAAGGAAGTTTGTTCTTAAAAAAAAGTATTTAAAATCTAAGAGAGCTCTTTGGAGCAGGATTTAATGGTACTGAGGCCAGGCATTGCTTGGATATCCAGCAGCGCGCCTGTGTGATGTAGATCTCTAAATAAATTCATTCTCTTCAAAAGCAAAGTGGTTTATCTCCCGTCACATTGATAGTTTCTGTAATTAAACTTCCAGCACACAACTACATTAATAAGAAAGCATTTGTGGTAAAAGCTCTTTCCGGTGACTGTTTTCAGAAAACTTATATGCCTTGTAGGTGGTTTCTCCATTAAAAGACGAGCAAAACTTTTTGATACCGTTGTGAGTCCTTCAGGGATGTGAAGATGCCTGTTGTTGCTGGCAAACCTGCACATTTGGTAAGAATATTGACACAGGATGAGCTCTTTGAAGCATGGAAGGTGCTGGTGTTTGGCTGTTTCGCAGCAGACTGGCGGCAGCGGTGACGGCTGCTGCCCATCCCCAGGTGCTGCCATGAACGTGGAATCCCCATCATCGAGGCAGAGCTCGTGTTAGCTCAGAACAAGGCTGCTCCAGCAGCACCCGCTTGTACTAGTGGTTGTTTTAAAGAGTTTTTCATCCCGTTTCCTCCCTCTCGAAGGGAGCTGGCTCTGCGGCCGTGCTCTGACTGCACACACAGGACCGAATTGCCCATCTCTCCTTGCAATTGCAAGCCTGCCTGCCAGGAAATCAAATCGTCTGTGATTTTGCTGGTTGCCCTTTACCCTGAAGTCTGCGCTTGTACCCACTTACAACCATTGGGTTTTTCGTCTCTGCTTTGCCTTGCAGCTGAACGCCTTTGTGCTCTCCAAGCAGAGGAGGAAGGGCCGCCTTGGGAACCGTTCGCTAGGCGAGTGCAGCACCCGCGCGCTCTCCGGCAGCCCGATGCAGGGAGGTGCTGAGAGCACTTAACACCGGTTGCTGTCATCTTTCTGCCAGCCTCAAGAGGTACTTGGCAAATCTCATCAGCCGCTCGAGGAGCAGCCCAGGGAGCTGCTCGCACAGCTGCCAGCCCTGCTGCCTACTGCAGGCAGGGGAGCTGCACCTCGGAGGGTGCTGCCTGCTCGCTTCATAGCCACTTTTGCCAAGAGGCTGAACGCTACAGGACGTGAGGTGCTGTTTGCACTCTTAGTTTTCTTTAACAGGTGGCTTTTGTGTCACAGCTGCTTTCCTCCGTTGTCACCGAATTCTGGGGTTTTTTTCTTCCTCTTCACTGAGGTGGACTCACAGTCTTCCTACCGCCCTAATTTAGGAGTAGCTTTGACCTTGCGAACAGCATCTCGGCAAACACGGCTTTTCTACAGAGAGGGGCAAATCTGAGGATACTCCTCCACTTCCCACTGATGTAGACGTGTTTTGATGACAATTATTGCTGTGACTGGTTGGAAGTTGGTTGAATTTCGGCGCTAAGCAGCTTATCTCGCTGCTCTAGCCTGGTACAGCTAAAGTTGTTTCACACCTCTGTCCCCAGACAGAATTAAGGGTTCTGGTCGGTTCCTCTCATCCATGGAGTCGTAGGTTAGGCTGTGATCCAGCAAACCACTGTGCGCGTACTTAAATTTACGCCTCACTTGAGCCCCTTGTATAACGTTTAGCACACACGTGAGTGTGCTGGAGTCGCAGCTCCGCTTTGCCGGTAGCGCTTTTGAAACTAAAAGTGTTTATACGTAATATAAACAAGAGGGGCAGAGCTGGGTGTTGTATCCCCTTACCCTTACACAAGGAAGCTGCTTGCATAAATAAGACACACCTACTGCTTTTTTGGGAGACAGAGCTAGAAGAAAATGTACCACAATGGATATACCTAAGGTTTCCCTTTTCTGTTGTTATTCGTAAACAGAATTAGAGCAGTTTCATATCGAGCACGACAAAGCTGTGGTTTATGTGCGGTCCTGCGTCTATGAATTGAAATCCTGTTAAACCAGGCAGTGTTACAGGTTTGCAGGATACAACCTAATACTTTAGAACTTGCCTAAAACTTGTTGAAACTGAAATCTGTGGCTCTGCTTCTTTTCTTTTCTAGGCTGCATTGGAGGGTGGCCACCCCGCTTGCAAATCCCTGCGTCCTTACTGCGCAGAGGAAGAAGAAAGTTGCTTCATGCCGTCGTTTTGGCATATGCAGTGCTGTGTTTTCTCTGCAACCCGAGCATCCTCGCAGGGAGAATAAAAAGCCGTGTGTGTGCTGGGAGCAACCCGGCTGCAGCTGCAAAGGAGCAGCAGGGACGCAGAGCCCCGTGTCCGACCTGCTCCTTCGCAGCTGCAGCTGGGATGAATTGCCACCAGGCCGAAGGGGATGGAGATGTCCTTGCAAGCGGCTCCATGCCCACCCTGCCTGCGTGCCTTCCCCTGACCTCCTCTCAGGGCAGGGGTGGGTGTCTTCCCCAGAGCCCCAGAATGCTGTGCTGGGGTGGCCAGGGGATGGGGAGTCCAGGGTGGTATTGCAGGGACAGGAGCTGGAGGGTAGGAGATGCCGGGTGGGCACATGGCAGGGATAGAGGATAAAGGATGGGGACAGGAGTGGGAAGATGGGGGATAGGGGTATGGGATAGGAATTTGGTGGAGATGGAGGGTGAGGGCAGCAGGGTTGGGGCACAGGAGGGCCAGGGGCTGCAGGATGGGGACATGGCAGGGGCGGGGGCACCATAGGGACAGGGATTGTAGGATGGGGCACAAAAAGGGTGAGGAATGCAGGATCAGGGGACGAGGGCAGGGACTGGGGCTACAGGATGGGGAAAGGGGCAGGGACAAGGAACATGGGATGGGGACATAGTAGGGGCTGGGAATGCAGGATGGGGGAAGCAGGATGAGGCTGGGGCAGGGATGGCAGATGCAGGATGGAGATATGGTAGAGACCAGGGATGCAGGATGCGGTGTGCAGGATGGGTAGGGATGTGGCAGGGGCAGGGGATGCAGTATGGGGGGTGTGGGATGGGGACATGGTATGGACCAGGAATGTAGGATGCAGGACGGGGGTGTGGCAGGGGCAGGGGATGCGCGAGCAGGGATGCAGGATTCGGACAGGGCAAGGACGAGGGATGTAG